AGTGATTGTGTGTAGGAGCGTGTGCGTGGAGGAGAGGGACAGGGACGGAGGGACATCGGATGTGAGAAGACGGGGCAACTGTTACGCCTCAGACTGGAGAGCGATCACCCTGCCCGCGAAGACTGCGAGAGAGCCACCTGCCCGCGAAGACTGCGAGCCGCCTGCCCGCGACGACAGCTCTGGCGCTCAAGGTTGAACCGATTGGGGAGGGGGGCGGACGATGGCGCGTGGAGTGTGGCGTGTGATGTGATGTGATGTAGACGGTTGCAAGGGCTCAAGGACATTGTTCGCGGGGTGAACTGGGGGCGGCGCCTGTAGTCCTCACCGGCCTACGCCCCACTCCCTGGGCCGCGGTGTCGGGTGTGGTCCGCCAGCCACACTGGCACGTCCATAGACCGCAGAGTCGGATGGGAGGTTGACGGCGCTCCAGTGTTACGCTGAGTATGGCTGCGCGCCCATTTGAGGGGGTTTCCCTCCTCATGTTGCGCTTGGTTCATTGCGCGCTCGTTTGTTGCGCCACCACAGACCCAAATGTGCCCAGGCCGCTCGGCTGGGTCGGGGGCAACGATTCGGGGGTGTCCGAGGGGGCCCGTGTGCGCGCGCATTCTGGGCCTGGGGTGTGCACCCCGGAGTCGGCCAACCCAAGGGCGGGGGGGGCGCTCGGGTGCCCTCGGCTCGGGTGACCCTTCACGTCGCCCCGTGTTGCCTTGCGCTGGTTTGCGGGGTGGGGAGCCTCGTTTCTTGGTAGGACACGCCTCGCTCCTGACATTTTGGTTTCTCCACACCGCTACGCGTCGGTTCGTACCCGCGCGGGGCGGGGGGGCACAGCTCGCTGCCAATGCACTGCGGGGGCGGTTGGATCCCTCTGTGGGTCCTGCCCCGTGCGTCTGGCAGGGTGAGGCCAGCCGCCGCCTGATCACCGGGGGCTGGCGTACTTCGTCTGCGGGCGGGGGTTTTGGCGTGTCGCGGATCCAACGCGGCCCCTCCCAGGCCTTGCGCGTCGGTTTTTGCCTTCGACTTCGATTTGGTGTTCTGGCGTTCCGCGGTCCATGGAGGTGGACGGGGGGACTGGGGGGGCAAGGGGGGAGGTAGATTGGACGACGGCCATCCAGTCATTGACCTGCCCGTGGGGACTGGGCTCTGCGCTTGGTTTCGTCCCATCAGCCGGGGCGTCGTCGCCCGCTCGCGGGTCTCCCCCACTGCGCCGGGAGGCGGCCTTGTACCGCCTCCTACGGGGAGGGGGGCCTTGAATCCCTGACGGCGAGGGGCCTTGCGCCCCGGTCCTGGTTGCTGGGTGCGCCTGTTATCAGAGTGTCGTGGTGTGCGCTGTGTGTTGTCCTGTCTGTCGGGTCGTCGTCGCCCGCTCGCGGGTCTCCCCCACTGCGCCGGGAGGCGGTCTTGTGCCGTCTCCCATGGGGAGGGGGGCCTTGAACCCCTGACGGCGTGGGGCCTTGAACCACTTCATGACGGACGGGGGCGCCTGCCGTCACAGGCTACTATGCCGTGGGACGATCCGTGTGAGGGGCTCGTGTCGGCCGTGGCCCCTGGCTTCCTTATCCAAGTGTCCGGCCACGTGCGCGTGGGGTCTCGAGAGCTCGCCTCGCCGCAAAGGGTAGGACTGTCCCGAGTTCGTGCCTCTTGTGGCCTCGCGGCGGGTGGGGTGTCGACAGGGTTGTGGGGAAGAGTCTATCTATTCCAGCCCCCGAACGTTTCCTTTCGTGCGTCTCTCGCGTCTTTTGGGGGGGCTCTGGGGCTTCCAGATGAAACGTGGACCTCACCTCAATCCCCCCCCAGTTCCTTCTGCCCCCGTCACCCTTCCGGGAGGGCGGGTTTCCGAAATCGAGGTCGAGGGTTTCAGGTTCCTTGCGGGAGGGGTGAAGGGAGGCCCCGCTGCCGACATCCCCTTCCACCAGTACCAGTACCAGTACCATGCTCGCGATCATCGGCATGTTCATTCAGGACCACTCCGCCGGCTACGTTGCCGCGGTGGGCGACTTCGACCTCCAGGTGACAACGTCCAGAGACGATGGGGAGAAGCAGAAGACGCCGGCGGCTGAGATCACCCACAGGTCGCTGTACACAGGCTCTCCGCCGCATACGGTCGCGAGGGAGCTGGGCGTGCAGGACCCCCCAAACTTCTGGGGCACGGTCGGGCCCGCGGCGGATGATAGCACTGAGGACCTCGCCTGGAGGTGTCAGGCTGAGAGCAGCTCCCGGAGGATCCAGGGACAAGCCCCCTACGCTGCTGCGCACCTCGCCGGGAGTCCTGGGGTGTTTGGGTCGCCCCGTCCTGGTCCTGGTTCCTCGCCCCGCCCCCCCGAAGGAGGGGGCGGGAAGCAGACGACGTCGACGACGGGGATCGTCGCCGCCCCCCTTTCTGCCCCTGCCCATGTCGCCGACAGCTGTTTCGGGGTGCCCGGCTCGTCCCGACAGGCGGTGGCCACCGCGTGCCGCCCTCTGGCGGAGGAGGCGGTCAACAAAGAACGGTGGCGTCTTGGGACCCCGAGGACGACCTCCCTCTCAGGCAGCAGCAAGCCCTCTGTGCGCCGGGGCGCTTCCGCTACGGAGTGCGCCCCTAGCCGCAGGGAGGGCTCTTTCGCTCTCTAACCATACCCCTAATTATTCGGTGTCCCCCCCTTCTCCCTGCAGCCAGCCCGAGGATGCAGACAGCCGCTCCCCCACGAGTGGATGAGACAAGCGCTGCCATGAGCAGTCCAAGGACGCAGACCGCCGCTCCCCCTGATGTGGACGGGGCAGAGCACGGTACCCTTAGCCCCCCTTTCGACACGACGGCTTCAAGAGTGCCAAGCGGCAGCGCCGACGCTGCCACTCCCCCCAGCCAGACCGTGGTGCACCCCCCGAGCCCTGAGGGGCGCACTGGAGACCATTCGAGCTGGCGAGACGGTGGGTGCAGGCGCCCAGGCGGCAGCCACCGTGTGGGAGGTGACGCTCGGACTCCCCCCGGCCACACACAGGAGGGCTCCCTTATGGCCGGTGCGCCCCTTGCCGAGAGCTCTCCCGGGGCGCCCGACTCGTCCCGCCCGACAATAGCCTCGCTGAGTTGCCCCTCGAATGCTCGCGTCGCCGAGAGCTCTCCCGGGGGGCTGGTGCCGTCGTCCTGTGACGCTGGGGGGAATCAGATGGATCACGGGGGCCCCACTGAGGTCCAGGCCGAGAGCACCTCCTGGTGGTCCCAGGGACAAGCCCCCCTACGCCGCTACGCACCTCGCCGAGAGCCACGGGGTGCCTGGACCGTCCCGTCCTGGTCCTGGTTCCCCACCCTGTCCCCCCGACGGAAGGGGCGAGAAGCAAGCGACGTCGGACGACCCTTGCGATCCTCCCCCTCAAGCGGCAGCAAGCCCTCCGTGCGCCGGGGCGCTTCCGCAGGCTAGGGAGTGCGCCTCCAGCTGCAGGGAGGGTGCATTCATTCTCTGACCATACACCTATTCGGTGCTCCCCCCCTCTCCCTGCAGCCAGCCCGAAGATGCAGACAGCCGCTCCCCCACGGACGGAAGAGACAAACGTCGCCACGAGCAGTCCAACTCTCGAAACGGTGGCCTCGGAAACGCCTCGCGTTTGCCCTGACGCAGTGACTCTCCCCCGCCAGAGTTGGGGGCCACCTCTGCGCCCTGAGAGGGGCGCGGGCAGTCCAAGGGCGCAGACCGCCGCCCCTCCCCTGCAGAGACGGAGCCGAGAACAGTACCTTTAGTCCCTCTCTCGAAATGACGGCTTCAGGAGTGCCAGGCGGCAGCGCCGACGCTGCCCTTCCCCCCCGCCAGACCGTGGTGCAACCTCCGAGCCCCGAGGGGCGTTCGGGAGTATCGAACTGGCGAGACGGAGGGTGCAGGTGCCCCGGCGGCAGCCACCGCGCGGGAGGCGACGTTCGGACCCCCCCGGCCACGCCCAGGTGCAAGGGCAGGGCGGTCCCTTTCTCGCCGCTGCGCCAGCTACCGAGAGCTCTCCCGGGGCGCCTGACTCGTCCCACCCGGCGACGGCCCATCCCGAGCTGCCCACCGACTGCGCGCGTCGCCGAGAGCTCCTCTGAGGTTCCAGACTCGCCCTGGCAGGCTGTGGCCACCACGTGCCGCCCCCCAACGGGGGAGATGGCAGACAGGGAAGCTCGGCTGTGGGGGCCGCCGACCCCCCCCCAGCTCAGGCGTCACCTTCCCCATAGGGGCCCTCTCCACGTCGCTGCGCCCCTTTCCGAGAGCTCTCCCGGGGCGCCCGACTCGTCCCGGTCCGCGATGGCCTCGCTGACTTGCCCCCCGGTCGGAAAGAGGCATCTTCAGAAGAGTGCCGGAGGCCCCGGTGACGGGAAGCAGAAGAGGTTTGTGGCGAAGACCACCAACAACCCCACGGCCACGAGCCCCCCCGGGCGGAGGAGGCTGGGAGCAGGCGTTGGGTACGGGGGCCGCCAACGACCCCCTAGCCTCGGCCGCCTGCATCGACGCGCAGTAGTGCTGCCCCCACGGCGGACAAACGAAACCTGTGCCAGGACCACCCCTACCAGAACCGCACCGTCCCAGACCCGGCGGTCTACCAAACCCCCTCCCCCCAAGGTCCCGCTGGGCCCAGGAAGGGCGCGTGCCTGCCGTCCGGCTCTTGTTCGGTGACGCCTCGGGCACGGCGTGCGGTGGCAATAGGATTGCCCGGCACAGGGAAAGGATCTTTTTCGCCACGGAAGGATTGTAGAACGGAAGGGCACCACCCCGGACACCACAAGCGTCCCTCGTCGCCACGGCTGGAAATCGGTACTCCAGTGCAACGTCTCACGCATGTTGATCGCGCGCCGCTGCCCAGACGGGGCGGCGCCTGGCGTCCCACCTTGCGTCCTGCCGAGGCTGCGCCGACCCAGCCGCAGGGCAACGCCGACGGGCATCGCGACCCGCCCCCCCCGTCTTCCACGGTCACTTTGCCCCCCACCCCCCCGTCAATGTGGCGACGAACGCTGGCAGCTCGAGCACCGAGGATTACCACAGCACCCCCAGGGCGGGGAAAGT